CCATACTCCATACCCTTCCCACAGCATTAATCCACTCCAAGAACCAATGTCCGAACATCAACTGCAGAAATTAGTGACCATTGATGAATTAATCTGTGCCGAGGGTGATGTTTACATTGTCTGGTGCCTCGACCAGGGAGCTGGATGGTAGTAATAGTTCTCATTGAGTACCCATCACAAGCATTTGGCCCATGTACATTGTTAAGGAACTGGGCTTATGTTAATTGTAAACAACAGTAACTGTTGCTCTTGAAACCCTGAAGGGCACCTGCCAAAGGGGCATATAACTGTATATCACACACTCATTAGCAAGCCCTTGTATAGTATCACTTAAAGGGGCCTCTGAAAGAGATGTTATACGGGCATGAAGTTCTACAGTTCTGATATATAGGACTTTGTGCATGTTTATTTAACATGGCTTTGAAGGGGAAAAATATTATGCTCTATTGTAAATACGAGTAGTCAGATATCAATGTTTTTAGATTTTAGATTACAATGTCATCATCTAATAGACTGTATCTCCATGCACATGGAATAGTAATATCTAGCAGCACTTATTACTTTTAACAACACACACTGACATTTTTTATACTCATGTCATATTCACACACACTTTATTCAGTACATGCAGATCAGCAGCCTTTTTGTACATACATAAGTACAATATGTACTGTTCAGATGCAAAAATGATAAAATAAACCATATTTGTTAGTTTTGTCTTAACATTGGCATGAAACAAGTACTTTGATAAGTACTTTGTATTTTATGAAAGGGTCTTACGATGTAGTCTATCAAACTTCAAAATATTTAAAAGATGTAAAATATGGGTTTTATGTATCTTTGCTGTATATGGCTTTAGTGCTGGACACATAATGAAAAAGTGACATCCGTTTTCAATATGGTTTAAGTTTTTGTTTTATAAATTGATGAGGAAATTAAAATGTTGATGTCATTTATTATTTTCTGCATGCAATACTATTCAAATAGTATGCCCATGAAATAGATGTTTTAAACTGTACATAATACCCCATTTGGCAATATATTTAAAAAAAATTAGAGTACCATACTTGTTAAAAGTTGTGTTTTTAAGTGCTTATATCAAATATAATCAACTGGACATCTGGTGACTTTATCTTGACCAGTACAACACAGAGAAAGACAATACGCGAAACATGTTGAAACTGAAGCTGCACGACCTGAGACCGAAATATCACATAGATGTCCTGTGATCATATGACTCTAGTCGTCCTCAGGGGCTCTACTTCTGTTACTTATGTGGAAATGTCAAAACAAATTAAGGTGATTGTCTTTCACCTGAGTAGAGGCTTTAGATGGTGTTTTGGTAAACGTAGTTACCAGCTACAATTATCATTTATTTTCAAATGTTTTTAGGAGTAAGGTGTTGATTTAACTACCTGTTTCTCGATCTGCAACCCAATTACTCTCTGTGCCCATTCACTGGAAAAAAAGGTGTGATGTCTGACAATGGTGTTTGTGAATCCCACGAGATTACCTTGTCATGGATACCACTAATGTATTAATATTTGTACGTGAATAATGTAGCTGTATGAATAATGGGCACTTTAGTGTCTGGTCAGATTGTATATGTTCCTGTTGCGTTTCTGTAGAGGTAAGCATGTAATTGTCCACTAACTGTACTAAGTGCAGGTCCATCGACCCAGCTGCCTGTCTGGCTGTGTGACTAAGTAGCAGCGTTCCAACATTTGCCCTTGGATTGATGGAAGCATTGGTTGAGCCAGGAGGTTTCCTTTTTAGGTTCCTGTCAGAATAGCTCTGTAATCCCATCACCTACACAATGTGTGAACTGGTTACTTTATGTCATTGTCTTGTTTGGGTGCTCATTCTCTCGACCGCGTAATTTGGTAAAGTTTGTAGACAATTTTGCAGTTATAACTCTCCCTGAAGACCCCTTGGATATGGTGTCAGTTGTTTCAGAGGTTTCATCTTTGCGGATCAGTTTGTTGACTGAGATGGATCCCAGTGTGGGCGTGCTGGAAACATTGTTGCTTCACTGTATAGGTTTCTAGGTTTGCCAGCACCATCACTGTGGGCTTGTGGTTTTCATAATCATGTGAGATCAGCATCACTTTGGGATTTTCCTCTGCTTTAGGCTGACATGGATTGATGTAACTGAATACTGTTCAGAGCAATGTCACTCACTCACTCACTCACTCATCCGTGAAGGTCCGGGTTAGAATATTGATCTTCAGTAACCCATGCTTGTTGTACGAGGCGACAAATGGGATCGGGTGGTCAGGCTCGCTGACGTGGTTGACACATGTCATCGGTTCCCAATTGCGCCGATCGATGCTCATGCTGTTGATCATTATTTACAGACCGCCGCCATATAGCTGGAATATTGCTGAGTGCGGCGTAAAACTAAACTCACTCACTCACTCTCACTCACTCAACCACTCAACTACTCGACCACTCACTCACCCACCCATCCACTCACCAACCCATCCACTCAGCCATTCAGCCACACACTCATGTATTTGTGTACACAGTCAGATGCAACTTGGAGCTACTGTCTGTACTAGATTTCCATCGTTAAAGATGCATGATCCTGTTTGATGATGTCAGGACATGCAACACTGTCTATGGAAAAGAGATGAAGACTGTTACCTTACAGCGATTTATATTGAAGCAAGATCGTGGCTCCTGTGATATGTAACACCCAATTCCGGAGGCTATTACTGCAGACAGACATGAACACACAGACTGAGTGTAGCTAGCTTCCAATACAGACTGGGTAGTTCCAGGGCACAGTAGCTTCAGATGAGTCTCTGATAATGTAATAGGAATTATAGAGTACCTCTAACATCCCGTGAAATAGATTCAATTGGCAAAAGGGGACTTGAAAATTATGAGAATGGATCACTAAAAAGTACCTGCCTACCAGAAAACAATCAGCTAAATGATTGCTAAATGTAAATTGTACTTTGATGCATTAGTAAACAAAAAATCTGACTTAATAATTATTAAATGTTGGGTTGCAAAATAATTAAGTCTAGCACCTTTTATCTGTTTCATCTGTAGCCTAGTGGTTAAAGCATTTGCTCGTCATGCTGTAGGCCCGCATTCCCTATATGGGTACAATGTGTGAAGCCCATTTCTGGTGTCTCCCAGCTGTGATATTGTTGGAACATTGTTGTAAGTGGCGTAAAAGCATACTCACTCACTCTGTGACACTTGGGTGGTTAAGTTAAGTAAGTTGCATCCTTTGGACACCCAAGAACCCTCTGATTTCAGTGTTGAGTCCTTGTTCACTCACACCAATGTTTGTGGGTTTTCCCCTGATTGTTCTCCACTTTGGGCTTTCCATCAGGGGCGGTGGGGTAGCCTAGTGGTTAAAGTGTTTGCTTGTCACACGTGTTCGGCTCTCTACAATGTGTAAAGCCCATTTCTGGTGTCCCCTACCATGATAATGCTGGAATATTGTTATTGTAAAAACTCACTCACTCACTCACTCCTCCCTCATTAAGTCGACCTGTTGTGATACGACTGGAACACTGTTCAAATCGGCATTATACCCATTCTATCTCTCAATTAAATTCCTTTAAAGTTGATCTTTTAATTTAATTCCTTCAAAGTTGAAATGTAGTTCAAATTTGTTCAGTGCCTATATAAGGAAGTGTACCAATCAGTGGTGCATGCTGCAAGACCCCCGTGTCAAACCTGTTGAAAATTATGTTCTGTTTCTTGTGGCCATACACATTTTTAAATCATCACTTGTCTTAATTCAATTTTCTCACTGTTCCAGCGAAGGCACTTAAAAAATTTATGGAATTTGTTTGTATGGCCGAATCCAATAATGATTAAGAAAAAGTATTTGGAAGGGAAGCCAGCCGCTAATGACTTTGAATGTTTTGTCTAATTTCACTACATTATCAGTTTCAATCTCATGATCATTACATCTTGGTTACAAAGACTTTCATAATAGGATGGATAGAGAAAAAACCCATCAGAACATGTCCTTGCAATAAATCTTATTGTCATAGGAACAGGTTTTCCAATGGTTAAGTGACTTTGAGAATGGAATCAATTAGACATTGCATAATGATATCTCTTCAGAATTTTAAATCAGGACAGACTATAACAGCCTGTGTGAGTTATGTCTTCCCATGCCAGGCATTTAGTGGCTATGTAATTGAAGAAATATCCAATTAAACATTTTATGTGGAACATAATTTTGCCCATACACATCTTCACGTCAAGCTCTTGAATCATACTCCTGAATATCATATACAATAGAAAGAATACTATTCTAGGAGACGACAATGAATTTTCTTTCTTATGTTGATAAATGCCTCAGAAGTGTCTGAACTTTATTTCTATGAGCTTTTCTGAAAGTAATTGATAACATGAATTGTTTTAGGGCCTGAAACAGAATATAAATATAAATTTTCTTCAGTGTGATTTTCACTGAACTGAGGTATAGTCTATCAAAAACACAAGATCATATCAAAATGAATGAGAGATTGACTACTGCCTAACAGCACATCAGCAATTGCAACAAAATAAAAAACTGTAAAAAAAGCAATTTTGCCACCATTCAAGAACATATCCTTAAAGTGCTGTTTCAAGTATTGTAAACAGTCATGCACATTGGAAACTTTCAAAATTAAGTTGAAGACTTTCTTTTTTTCCAAAGCCTATCCCTAAAATCAATCTTTCTGTCATCAATTTCAATGTATACTTATTTTGCTATTTTATCCTCTGTATGCATTGTATGTAAGCTTTTATGTAGCACCTTGAGCATGTATCAGTGGGTGGAAAATGGCGCGCTAAAAATATCCATTTTTATTATTATTTTATTATTTTAAGTGTTATATAGATGTCTGTTTGAGAGAGAGTTACACACAAAGTTGGAAATGCTTTTAAATGACATAATTTGACCTCAAGCTCCACATGTATGTTTTAGGATTAATACTAATATGATTGAGAGAAAATTTCATGTATGTATTTAATTTTGACAGAAAAAGGCTGTGAAGAATTGGTGGGACGAGGACTGGAGTCAGTGGTTCGGGAGAAGACAACCAGGATTCCAAACAGTCAGAAAACCATGTGGCAGATAGCCAGCACAGCAAGAACCCTGACGCTGCAGGAAAGGCTGTGAAGCCTAAAGACTCTGTAGCACCACCCACCCCTTTCAAGGCAAAGGGTGACAGTGTTAAACCACTACCTAAACACCAGCAGCCACATCTGTACAATCCCTCAGAGGAGAAAGGATGGGATTCCAAGTATGATGCTGACTACAACAAATTTGTGGATGATGATGAGGATGTGAAGGATTACAGTAAGGACTATGATGATATTGAAGATGAGGAGGAAGAAGAGGAGGAGGAGGATCTGGACTCCAGCGAGGAGGACTACGCAGACTCTGAAGAAGACAGTGAAGAAGATGTGGAGGAAAAGGATTACAAGGAAATAGACGAGATGAACGCCAGAACTGAAGCTCCCAAAGCTGAGGTCAACACTGTGAAGGATGAAGCTGCTCCTGTTCAGAAGGGGACGACTTTCCGCAGCTACGGCAACGACATGGCAATAGCACCCATCGAGAAGCATGCTGATGAGAAGCAACTGGCTGAGCAGAAGGAAGTCTCCAAGGAGAAGATAGTGAACACATTCCCGGATGTCAATGCACATTCTGTAAAGAAGGACCTGATGAATCCTGCTTATCTGAAGGAGTATGCTAAGACCAAGCCAGACCTCAAAACCAGTCCCAACCCACCTCCCCCAGATCTGGTTGATGGCAAGATGACTATGGTGACACCCTCTGGGAAGAAACCAGTCAAGGAAGAGAAGACATACATCCAGTCCAAGCCTCTAGGTGAGTGTATAAACTGCCCCTGTGATTTCTCTGAAGTAGTACATGCCTTAAAACCTGCAGCATCACTTCTGACTTTCCTGCTACATCAACCTGACACCCTGTGATGTAACTGTGATACTATTCAAAGCATAGTGACACCAAACTCACCCACCCACTCACTCTTGTAATGTGCACTGGCTAAACTGGGTAAGCTGTTTCAGATCCTGATTTGTAAGCCTTTAGCCTCTAAGCAAACAAAAGGAAGTGGTTCCAAGTTTGGTTACTTAATGATTCGGCGCCCATGCTTGTTGTAGGAGGCAACTAAAGGGATCGTGGGATCAGACTCAAGGATGTAGACGATGGATTTCATTGTATTCTAATAGCGTAGAAGTGTTCTTATTATGTTAATCACTGAATTGTCTGGTCCATAATCCTATTGGGTAATGGATTTGCTCGTCATGCTGGAATCTTATAGCTGGAATATTGCTGAGTTGTGTTACTTATCAAACAAAACAAGAAAATGAAAACTAATGATTCAGCCTGTTTCAGCTTGTGATTATCTGGATTCTGTGTTAAACCTAATGACTGGATTCTTGTCAATTCTTACCTCATGACATGATATGTGTTGGTATTTGTTTCAGCTCTCTGTCAGTCAAATTCCGATTGCCGAGTCGGTCGCATGTGTCATGACAAAGTCTGTGTCTGTCTCGGCATAGAAGGCTGTCAGGGTCATTACAAGCCTGTTTGTGGGTCCGACAACAACTGGTACCCAAGCCACTGTGAGCTCCACCGCAGTGCATGTGTGAGTGGCGAACACATCAAGATCGACCACACTGGATTCTGCTTCAAGATCAAGGGTAAGTTGTAGGGCTGCGCAATATAACCGGTTTACCGGTATTTACCTGTTCAGACATGAAAACGATACGCATTGTGATACGCTGATCTTAAACCGGTATTTTGATATGTATTCGGAAAACATCGTAACACTCGGAAATCTTCGGATATTTCCTTGTTTTATTTTTGCCAAATATTATTCACATTTTTATTCTATCATGATTAAAATTTGTTATTAAAGCTTAATCAAGCATAGTGATTTTGTTGTGTTTTTGCTCTATAAATCAAGCAGTAACTCGATTATAAGTAGTTTTTTGTTTAAAAATACTTCATGCAATATATTGCAATACATATCGCAATACATGCTTTCTCATCGCAATATATCGCAATATGAATATTCTCTGCAATACCCACCCCTAGTAAGTTGCTGTTAAAACAATGAAAGTCAAAAGTGTGCAGAATTAACGCTGGTCCTGTGGTCCCTGGCTATAAAAAATTCACCAGGACCACCAAAAGATAAGTTTGCAGTGGTCCTTGTGGCCAGTGAATTTTGTATTGATAGTTAAATTAATCTACGAATTTTATTTTTGACCAGTGAAGTACAGACAGGACCACTAATTATTGTCCACTCACTGGTCCTGTGGTCTTGTGGGAAATTTCAAAGTTTTTTTTCCCTGAGTAAAACTTAAAGGATGATGCAGTTTGTGTGAATGATCTTGAATTTGGTTACTTTCTTCATTTTGATTTCTAAGGATATCTTTGGTGTTGCCCTAAAGCGGATTACATGCTATTTGTTCCACAGTATTAATGTTTACCTTGCCATGCATACTTTTCAGTCATGTGGATGAACAATTTCGTACTAGTAATGTACGTGCGTTGCAAGATCTGGATCAGAACAAGTTCTTTTTTTAGGAACTGTGGTCCAAGAATTCAGAACACTTCATACCATTGTCAACAGTGTGGCCAGATCAGCCAAATTCAGAAGAATTTTCTACTATATATGAAATGTGTTGCAATATCTCAACAAAAACTATCATAAATACTGTGATTATAAATATTACCATATTTCCTCTAATAAGCACTGGGGGTAAAGCAGCTCACTAACAATTACGGTAATTACACCCAATAAGCACAAAAGTCATTGTGCGCTTATGAGAGGAAATACGGTATGTTCAGTGTAGCAAGATCTGCAAAGCAACATTTTCGGCAGTTAATTGCCTAGTAAGTTGTTTTACATCATTTGAACTGAAGCAAAACCAATGAACAATATCAAATGTCATGAGTTCTATACTGTTTGAGACAAGAACATGGTTCACTCAAATACTTTTAAAGATTGATTTATTATAAGAACGGTGATGCATATTTCATTGTGAAATGTTTTATGCTAAGTTGCCTGAAGGTTAAGGAAAACGTTTGAGAATGGGACCTGGAAAAGTCGATAATACTGCCAATCTTTGTTTGAGCTTTGACACAATTCACATCATTATTTTCCCATGAGACATGAAAGAGTAAAGCGCTTTGCTTTAGTGTCTTGGTTACAGGGGAAAGTACTTATCAGTCACCAAGGTGACAATGCTGGAAGATGGTAATAAAATCATCCTCAGTGTCTTGAAGGCACTTGGGCTAAAAACGACTTGCTCATGGTAAATATCTACTTGGTGCAAGTTTGAATGAATACTGCCTTATTAAATGATTGTTTCTACTGATTGTGAATTAGTTTATATACATAATTTGATTAAAGAACTTGATTGTAAAAAAGAAGTGACATTTAGAGAGCCAGTTCCTAACATTAGGGAAAAGGTTAAGGGGCACTGGATAATGTCTCTTTCTCTCTCTCTCTCTCTCTCTCTCTCTCTCTCTCTCTCTCACTTGGACTTGGTCTCTCTCTCCCTCTCCCTTCTTCTCTCTGTTTTTCTCTCTTTATATATCTCTTTCTCTTGCCCCCTCTCTCTCTCTCTTTTTTCTCTCTCTCCCTTCTTCTCTCTGTCTCTTTTCTCTCTGTCTCTCTCTGTCTACCCTCTCTCGCCCCCTCCCTCTCTTATGAGAATTTTGCTTAAACAGATGACAAGTTTGTGGGATGTTTCAAGTGTAAGTGGCTTCAGGAAGAAAACCCTGAAATGTTTACAAGCACAAATATATGTACACCTCCAAAAAGCTCAAAATCAGTGCAGCTGAAGCTCCAGAGCTAGTATGTATGAGGATTCTGTCCCTGTAAGTGCCAAGACTTTCACAAGTCTGTGGTAATGTACTGGAATTAAGACAGCTGTAGCTTGAAGATTGCTCTGTAGACTGTGACTCAGATGCATTGATTATCTTTGTGTAGGCTTTTCATGAGTAGGAGTTAACAAGGCACTGACACCACATGGAAGGGTATAACTGGACATGAACGCTGTGGACACAGATCAGAAATCGGAATCTTTTACAATCCATACATAATAAAACATTAACGTTTCTGAAATCCACCTATTTGCAATGATTATCTATAACAATGTGCACCCAACACTATACACTAACCATGTGTGGGATACGAGTGTTATTTGATGTATCACCATATGACTTATAGCTAGCTCAACATTGTTATTGTGCAGATACAAGAAGTATTGATCTGCTATTGTAATTCTAACCTCCTATCTTGTGGCATCGGTAATCATGGTTATCTCCTTGCTATTCATGGTGACTCTGCAGGACGTGTCTATTTAGTAAGCAACATTTGCAGAATGAAATTCTAATGGCAGGAGAACTTGATAAAGATTTGAGAAAATATATACGTTTCTTCTGTGGCAACTTTATTGGTCAAGTTGATGCAGTTACAGTAGAACACGGATATAAGGAACTCCAAGGGACCAAGAAATTTAGTTCGCTATATCCGTTGTTCGTTATTCACATTTGACCGCCATCTTGGATTGCAACATGGGACCATTTAAGGGAATGTTCTCACTTCTACAGCCTGAATTATCTGAAGCTTGGTGTCAAAAGTGATAGCTTTACGTTTGCCTGCCACAGTGACGAGAGTGAACGAAGACCTGTATGCCAGTCAAGCTTTTAAACAGGTCGACATGTTTGTTTTGTTAATTAATTAATGACCATCAAACAATGTTGATTCGCCACCAACAAGGTTGATGTATACCGCTAAGTCGCTGAGCTGACACTGAGCTGACACTGAGTGAGTTCGCTAATCACGTCGTTAATTGGGTCTTGGGGGTAGTAAATCAGTTCGCTATAGCCGTTAATTCGCTACTCACGAGTTCGTTATTCGCGTATAATTTTAATGATATTATAAAGGACTATTGACGGGACTTTTAAATTTGTTCGCTATATCCGTTTGTACGCTATATCTGTGTTCGCTATATCCATGTTCTACTGTATATGCTACAAAACACCAAAGTGTGTTACATGAGGATTTATGTAATTAGTCAAGATGCTTGAGTTAAATGTTGCAAGTCCACCTAAGAGTGTGGTACAAGGATTTATCTCACTGGTCAAGTTGCTGCAGATTCATGCAACAAAACCATGTTAGCGTGTGATGCAAGGATTTATCTCAAGTTGATGCAGTTTCATGCTACAAAACACCTACGTGTGTGATACAAGGATTTATCTCACTGGTAAAGTTGCTGCAGTTTCATGCAACAAGCTTAAAACCACATTAGTGTGTGATACAAGGATATATTTCACTGGTCAAGATGCTGCAAAACCATCTTAGTGTGTGATACAAAGATTTATCTCACTGGTAAAGTTGCTGCAGTTTCATGCTACAAAACACCTACGTGTGTGATACAAGGATTTATCTCACTGGTAAAGTTGCTGCAGTTTCATGCAACAAGCTTAAAACCACATTAGTGTGTGATACAAGGATATATTTCACTGGTCAAGATGCTGCAAAACCATCTTAGTGTGTGATACAAAGATTTATCTCACTGGTAAAGTTGCTGCAGTTTCATGCTACAAAACCACCTACGTGTGTGATACAAGGATTTATCTCACTGGTAAAGTTGCTGCAGTTTCATGCAACAAGCTTAAAACCACATTAGTGTGTGATACAAGGATATATTTCACTGGTCAAGATGCTACAAAACCATCTTAGTGTGTGATACAAAGATTTATTTCACTGGTCAAGTTGCTGCAGTTTCATGCTACAAAACCACCTTAGTGTGTGTTACAAAGATTTATCTCACTGGTCAAGTTGCTGCAGTTTCATGCAACAAGACCACATTAGTGTGTGATACAAGGATTTCTTTCACTGGTCAAGTTGCTGCAGTTTCATGCTATAAAACCATCTTAGTCTGTGATGCAAGGATTTATCTCACTGGTCAAGTTGCTGCAGTTTCATGCAACAAAACTGGAGGTAGAGGTGACCTTCTGAGACATAACTGGAACCAAACCCATCATAGATTTATTTTATTGTCATTGATGTGGCTGATGCAGATGCATATGAAGTGCAAAGGGGAATAAATTGTAGTTTTCAAGGCTGATTGCAATATTAAGTCCTGAATCCAAGACAATTAAGGTGCTACACAGCACAGTTCCAACATTGTCATGCAAGCATGCCAATCACTTTTTATTATGCTACAGTAAGCTGCACATTAATGGGAGGGTTATTAGAGTTTCGATTGTCTGTGTTTATCAGGTACCATGAATTATGCATGAAAATCATCTATGTTAGGAATTCATCTCAGTGGCTGTATTGGTGAGGAATAGTGAACATGAGGTATCGATTATTGTTCCTGTCATGTGTTTTTTAGTCATCAGCTAAATATGTACATAATTCATATTCGCTGGTGTTGGCTCCATGACAAGGGTATATATTACAGCCCTCGAGACTGTTGCTCTACTTGCATGGCCCAAGCACTATTCTTCACGGTGAACTTATTATTTGCTTAGGTGAAATTAGTTATTTTTATGCATCATAATGAGGACAAGTGACTTAAAATGTCATCGAAAGGCCAGAATACTGCGTGTGGGAAACAAGCACTTTCTTTTATATGCAAATTATTGTGTGAGAGGTGCTACTGGTATCGAAGGTCAC